GAAGTTAAATTAGAACAAATAAGCAATAAAAACTGCTGGAGGTCTTTGTTGAAAACAGCTTGCATTCCAAATTCTTACTTTTCACCTACTTATTACCCAATTCACTCAATTACATCTATTAGACAAAGCACAATCACCCTTGCAACAATTCCATAAATAGTGGTGGCAGATGCACAGAGCCTTAACGGACAGGATAAACTTGGCGTGCTAAGACAAAACTCTTTAAAGAAAGATTTTACACGAGATGACTCTGATTCTTTTATAAAATTGTTAAAAGAACTGTCAGTCAGGACATAACTGATCCTTAGGCAATGCTCCATTAGGAGTAAAACCCACCTAACTGGAGCAGAAATGACAACCTGAGTGAGCCCTTGTGCGCCTATTTTTGGCTTCAGTTTTAAAGACCAAGGACACAAACCCTGATTTTAGCGACTCTTTTAGATTTGGAAATTTTTCTGGGAGCATCCCAGGGTATTCTAGGGAATCCTGCATACTTACTGCTATGAAGATTGGACATGGACCTGAAGAGAATGAACACTTTCAGTGAGACAGGACATCTCACTGCACTGAGTGTCCCATGCCTGATCCTTCATGAAGTTCTCTTCATCATCTCATTTCTCTGCAATATTATTATTCATTGAAGTGCTAGGTATTCCAACAGAGACAGAAGCTCTCCATGTAAGTACCTAAGGAGTGCACACACAGACCTGACAGGTTGTCAGGAGCTGTAGGGATCAGCAAATATAAGAAATACAATAAAATACACAAGGAATGGGGGGTACACTCTTAGTCAGTCTAGGTAAACAGAAGATTTGAACTCAGCATTTATAAACACCAGGAAGATACACGGTGTCTTGATGCCCATGATATTGTGGTGTCAGTGTTTCAGCAGGCATTTTTGTAGAGGGAAAAGCGTGCAGAAGCATGACAATAGGCATGATCAGTATTTATGGAATCTCTTTTTTGTCTCTGTTGAGGCTGACCACCTCACTGAGCAGACAAAATGCTTGAGATATTTTTTTTCCCCCCTGTCTATGTACAGTGCCTAAAGTAACAAAACCTTTTACATGCCACTGCTGTGTAATCTGTGGTTATTACTACTAGTAGCAAAATATGATAATCAGAAAATACACAGAAATGTTCCACATTAGTATATATTGCAGGAGGGGAAAGCAAGAAATGGCTAAAGGTAAGAAACCACATAAATCAATCTCAAGTGATTTTTCCATTAAAATAACGACAAATTGTAAATCCACAAAATTATCAATATTATGGCTATATTATGAGAAACAAAGATAAATGAAGAACATCAATAGCTATCCTATTCTTTTCCTACACACTTATTTTGGAAATAGAAGATCTACCCAGGGCTACCACTGGGAGTCAAAGAAACTCTTCAGTTATAATAAAACTCAGCGATTTTGTCCTAACCCCAAATCAAGTCCCAGGGTAACCTTCGCAAAGCAGGATAATATTTCCCAACCTATTATTTTTCATTCAGCCTAAATTTCTGGATAAGACTAAAATACCCTGATGGAAGCTGTACTTGTATATTTCCAGCTCAGTTGGAAATAGAGTAGCATGGGGAAAGCGTGCTATGGTAGAATTTTCAGTCCAATGTCATGAAGTTCAGGCAAGAAGGATAAGCATCAAAACAACTGTGTTTACTGACATTGTACTGAACAACCTACCAATGCCAATCACGGTTCAATTTAGTCAGATATCCTAAACTAATTATTAAAAAAAAAGTAATTTGAGTAATTTTACTGCTCATTATAGATGAAGAATGCATAAATTATGCCCATATATTGCCCTATGACATTGAATGGAATGAGACATTTATTTTTTTAAGTACATATATACAGTAAGAGACTATAGCTATGGCAACGTGTGGGCAAACCATACAAAAAAAGAAAAAAAAAAGAAAAATAAAAGATATATTAGTTCCCTTGTAGTGGAGAAGCACAAATAACGTTGCAACCTACCTCCTGCAATAAAGAAAAAAATTCACCTTTTTAATTCAAGTTCTAGGACAGAAAACATAGCATAGATCCAGAGAGCTGTGAATTAGGACGAACACAAGCCTAAAAATGATGCCTAAAACTTCAGCAAATTTGTCAAGTGCTTTGATTGAGGTTGAGAATATGAGTCCAAATGGGTATACAGGAAGCAATCATTTTTTCGTGAAGAATACGTCCTTTACTGTGCACACAAATTCTTCCTTCAGAAGGCTGTAAATTACAGTATTTATGGAATCTTAATGATCTAAACACAGTTGGAGCCTGAAGGTCAAGGCTGCAAACTGCATCCTAAATTTCTGTTTACAGATGAAGCACAGTATTTATTGCTGTACTGCTTGTGCTGCTATAGTTAAAGGGCTGCCAGCATTTCCATTATAAACCACTATTTCAGGGGTTTATAACTTGCCTATCAATCTTCTGACTGGGATGAAACATGGCATGCAAGGCCCTGGCTGTGAGACTCAATCTTTTGTTTGTTTTCTTTACCAAATTACAAAGAGAATAAGCTTAAAGTTATACATGCTCAAGAAAAAAGTATATCAGGTTTTTCAAGTACTTCTGGTGTTCCTGCAATAGAATTATAGCTTCAGAACACAAAATATATTCATATTAGCCCATCAATTAATAAAAGGACTTTTGATCCTTAGAAAGATAATCCAAATAAAGACATTTCTTTAGATGCTTTTCCCCCCTTTAATTAATAAACTGTACTGCAGGTTTTTAATGGCAAGAAAGGAAATCAGAAATCTAACAGTGTCCTTGACTGGTTTATCTGTCTAGATTTTCCATTAAAGGTAACAATTACACACCTTGGCACAGTATAAAGAGTATTCTTTTAAAATGAGTATCTAAATGGTGATATACAAGGTGTACATATTTTCTATTATATATTCCAGATGATAATTGGTAAAATTATTCAAAGTCAGGTCAGAGTCAACGTTTTCTCCCAAACTTTAAAGCAACTTTATTGCCTACTCTTAAATCTTTTAACAAATTTAATTAAATCAGGAGGGGAACAAATACTAAATTCTCACTTCCACACTGTCTACTGGGAAAGTGCTTCTGCTCTGCACCAAAATACTGTGAAGAGCAGGTGATAAATTTAAGTCACATTATACCTGCATATCTAGCAAATACATTTTGATAAACAACAAACTTAATACTGCAAGCAGTGCAAGAATTGAAATACCAGAAGACCTCAAAAACCCTCTTATTGGAATCCTAAGTTTTGGAATAATTTATTTTTACAAATAAAGAACTGGGCCAGATTCAACAATGTGTCCTTGCAGTGCAACACAGACACATTACATTATATTAAGCAGTTTTATGGCTCCTTTGCAACAGCATACCAGTTCAGACATGACAGACAGCAGTGCTAAACCTGGAATATGAGAATTTATTTAATCACATTTTGTTTTATTTCTTTATGTTATAAATCCAGTCACAGCAGGAAGGAAGTAAATTAGCCCCTCCCCAAATGTAATTATTATATTTTCTTTATTATAGCTGTAGGGCTTTTTTTTTATTCACCAACATTGCTGAGTTCCCCACAACTACCTTTCTTATTTTTTCCCTTTGCTTTTGTTAAAAGGTGACTGCACTTGTTTTATGCCCTTCCTTAATGCTCGGAAGAATCTCTTCCTCCTGTTGCTGTAGTTTCTGCTTTCCTTCCCAAGTCTACTTCTACCATGCGTTTATTTTATGTCTACTCAACATAAGCACTTGCACTGAGATTTTTGATAATTTTTCCTATCAACTGAAACAAAGAACTGTTCTGCTATTCAGTTAGTTCTGGCTGCAAGTGCATTTATATTCCGAAATAACACAGATAGCTCATTTATGTCCTGGCTCTGATCTGTCTCCTGTATATCCGTGTTGCCTTCCAAGCTCTCTATTTTTGAGCATGCAAACCAGTTTTCCCTAAAATAAAAGCTGGGTATGGCTTTAGGGACAGTTTTACCTGGGAATGCCCCCTAACGAGCGGTATGGATGAGCCATTGGGTATCTTCAGCTGCAGAGTCCTTCAAAATTATCCCAGCAGAGCTGGTGAAGTCGGACAGCCCACACTGCCTCCTGTGCAGCCCAGGGCACTCAGGACATGCCCTTGGGGTTAAGCTCTTAAACTCCACACTGATGGCCTGCAGCGCTCAGACAGTTTGTACTGAAGCACATGGACGCACATCATGACTTCTCCTGAGGAGCCAGAGCACCAGACACTCCTCAGGGCATGCCTGGCCAATTCTTGTTTTACAGACTTTTTTTAAGCTACTGATCGCTGTAAGTTTGGGGTTTTTTATTTTGTACAGGAATCTACAGTGAGTAGATACGGTGAGTCAGCAATTGCTGACTTTCTTAGACAGTAAAAGATGGAATGGCTATGATGCCTTAAAATCAGCCTGGGTAGTGCAGCTGAACCCGTATCAGAGAACAAGTCCAACCAGAGACAAGATGTTATGAACAGTGACTGACTAAGGCCTCCTCATTCACTGCATTGTACTGCCTTTGACTGGTTGAAATGCATCCAAGAACCCTGCTATATAATTAAATATGTTAAATAATGCTACAGAGTATCTTGTATAATTCTGAATCTTCAATGAGCTGTAAAAAGTTTTAAATAAAATATAGGTGGAGCTTGTCAAGCAGTATTAGACTTTAAAGTATTTTCTTCTTCTGGAAGCTTACTGTACCGTCTAACACACGTATCTGTCACGCTGCCTGGGTTGCCATCACACCGTACATCTTGTTAGCAAAGATGTCATGACAGAAATGCTACAGTGCTGCATTCTAATGACCCCTTGTACTGTAATGAATTAATGTTTTCTGCAGAGAGGATGTGATAGGAAAAAATAGCTTTAATCTTGGATACTCACTGAGGTTTGGCGTTGTTTTTTTTTTTTTTTTTAAAGTACGACAGTCTTGCAAACCGAGCAACACTGAAAACCGTTTTAGCTCAAGTGAAGAACGCGTGGAACACCCCACCTGTAAAGTCCTGGAGGAGCTCGATGAACCAGGAAGCTTTTCTCCAAGCTTTGTAGCACATCATTGAGCATCCTGACTCTGACAGGAGCTCGCTCCTTGGGGTCGTTGGCCGGGCGCATCTCATCCGACTGGAACAGCTCGGCCGTGTCCCTCAGACGTGAGGCCACTGCGAGCAACTGAGGAACGCCTACTTCATCACCTGGGAACAGCAAGAGCAAGACAGTTGCCAGTGATTCAGAGAACACCACTTATTACTCCTGCTTATAAGCCAAAATTAATAGCCCAATTAAAACTGGAGCCTCTTTTCCCTTGAGGGGTTTGTAATGGATCAAGGAAAGCCATAGATCATCCTGCATAACCTCTGATCCTTTTTTCAAAGATCAATTTGGGCTCTGATGTTTTAAGATCTAATAAGCCGTGAGGAATGATTTTGGGGTACAGATTGAAGTCTAGCATTGGAAAAACAGGCCTGAAGGAAGCAATGGTTATAAATCAGGAACTATAGCATTTCCTTCTGAGACAGCATTTACTAAATGCCATTTGATGCTACTGCTCTCAAGTCTGAAAGCCTGTGCCTGGATTCCATAATGACTGCTGTATAGAAAATTGTAATATGCAGTTTAATTGAATTTGATGGAATGTTTTAGAATCCTAGAGGTTAACAACACTTTTAGAGGGGATTGAAATTGTTCCTCTTAATCACTTAAATTATATGCCAATGAGCCAACTTTAATTGATATCCAAATGCATATTCCAATCCAGTCAGTATTTTCAAAACTTTTTAAATATGGAATGTTAACTATTGCTTTGTTAGCAATCCTACACAGACACCAAAAGAATAAAAGCCTGTAGCCCTTCAGAGCACACCTTGATCTCAGTATTTCTCTGGTCATTGGGATATGACAGAGGAATGTGAAACGTGAATTGGAACATTGTGAATGTGCAGTCTATTCCCACCTGCAGTGCAGGTGGAGAGCACGGCCTCCTTTCCCAGTGTGTGCACAGACTGCTTTCCTTTTTACAAGAACATGGAGAGAAAAAGCAGAGTCTGAACCTGATATAAAGTCAAAAGTAATATCGGTCACCATAAACATTTCCAGGATGCAGAAATTATCTTAAGGCCAAAATTCACTTTGTCTATTGACAAGAAAATCAACTACCCTTAAATCTTTCAAATGATATTTTCGTCAACATAAACCATGCAGCTTTAGGAGCTGAATGTAAAAATGTCAGTGAGTTCATTATCTTAGTGACTGAGATGATTAAGCCAAGAAAGTGGTTCAAGACACAAGTTAAATGAATGTTAAACTTCCCTGTCTAACAGATGCAAGGAGAAATCAAAAACAGTAATTGGAGAACACTGACATGGTTTAAACTCAGCTGGCAACCAAGTGCCATGAACCTGCTTACTCCCACTCTCCCGCCTCCCTGATGGAATGGGGAGAATAATCAAAAAACCAGAAAGGTAAACAAACAGGTATAAGGAACAAATCAAGGACATGCCTGAATATAATATGCTGTCCCTCAGATGGAAAAAGAGAGCTACTGGATAAATTCCAGTAAAGGAAAAGGAGTTCATAGATCCCCATGTACTCCTGCCATTCAGCTAACACATTCCAATCCAGCAAAACATGAAATGATCCAAAATACACGGAGAGACAGATGCTGGCGTGAGAGAAACTGTCAGATTTCCTGAGCTATCAAGATGAATTTCAACAATGAACAGGAGTTCCCTGTGAGAACAGGAGTGAGAGAAGATGGTTTGTGTCTGCTCTGGTTTGAGACAAAGTTCTTTTGTTAATGGCGCTTGACCAAGCCCCCTTTCCCTAATTAGAATGAATAACAGGCACTGTGGTACCTTGATACAGGATAGGTATCTTTCTGATTGAGTCTGGAGCAATTTAAATTCTGATCAAGTTAGGTTGATGCCTCAGAAAAATATTCTCCAAGTATATAAACTCGGTTTATTTGCGATATTTTGCAAAATATCATTATCCTTAATTTTCAAATCTCTGGCAAACATCCTGTGCAGCTGAAGAACTTGCCATTCCCATGTATATAATGTAGGCACTGTGCATAACTTACCCTGGGACTTCTGTCCATATGGAAATATTAAAATTCACCCTATTAGAAAGAATCCTTTGGTTTCAGCAAACCACTTTGTATTCCAAGTAACAGAAACCATTTATAAGTTTTAAACAATTGTAAATGCCAGCTTTGCCTTTTCAATGGTGAAGGTGAGATAAAAGGAAAATCCATCCTACCATACTTGGAAATGAAGCCAACCAGACCACCCTTTTAAACACCTTTTTAATCCTGTAAATGCTCCCAGTCATTCTCTACAGCATTTTGCACCTAAACCAACAACGTTTTTGTTTACAGTCATGAGTAAGAAGCACTGTTTACCACACTCTCTAAACCAGCACTCAGAAAACGCACGCCCAGGCCCCTCTTTAATACTTCAGTACAAAACCTGCACGTGTCTATGATCAGAGTTACTCCAGCAAACCAAGGACAGAACGGGCCTCACAACACACTGAACTTCATCGCCAAGGGAAACTGTGATTTGTGCTTGTCTCAATTTGAGAAGCTGGGACTGGAAGGGCAAATGATCCTTCAAGAGAAGGATGCGTTAACTAAAGGTGGCTTAAACATCTTGTGATGCTTTTACAGAGAAAATCAAGCACAAGTATTACTTCACTCAAGAGAAAACAATGCCATGTTATTATATTTTGTATTCTTTGTCCTTTTGTCTCCAGTATGAATCATGATGAATCATCTAAGCTAGCTGTTTAGTTGCTATAAAAATAAAATTGCAAGTACAAGAAAGTGACTCAAGAGCATGTATACTCTTGATCCGAGAATTACACTGCTGAATTTCATTACACTTGCTAAATGTAACTGGATTCTATTCAGAAACAGGTTACACCAAATAGATATTTATTTTTACAGATACTGAATACAACAGCCTTTCCCCATGTAACTGATTGCTCTTATGAAAAATACGCTAGAGATTTAACATTTTTAAATTGTGCTTGTGCCCTCTGCTATGAATGCACTTGCCTACAAGTACCTACAGGAGAGCGAGCACAAACAAATCAGCAGTTCTGCTTAAGTTATGCTTGCTCACCATGCATGTGAACATGTGTTTGCATGTAAGAGAGAAGAGAAATTGCTTCAGGTTTTGATTAGCTTGCAAATTCAGGATCAGCTATGGTGTGCTGCTGTATTCACTACGCAGATTTTTCATGCTGTGCAAAATAGGATGATCAGGCCAGGCAGCAGAAAATCTGAATGGGAAAGCTTTGTAGGAAGCACCCTAAAGGGGCAGAAACACAAATCCACAGACATCCTCAGTGCAAAGAATATGTTGCCATCAGCTGCAATTTCGCTACCATGACTGTTACTGCCCAAGCAAACTAATCTGGTGTTGCTACAAGAAGACTCTTTTCGAAGGGGCTACCACTAAAAGAGGCATGTTGTGACACATCACTACGTGCATGCCAACACAGAAGGAGCCTGGAGAAGAGCAGGCTCCAGAGAGACTTTACTGTGCTCTTTCAGTACTTAAAGAGGGCTTTGTAAGAAAGATGGGAACAAAATTTTTTTAACAGGGGCTGCTGCAATAGGACAAGGGGTAATGGTTTTAAAATAAAGATTAGATTTAGACCAGGTGTAAGGAAGGAATTGTTTTTCAATGGAATTGTGAAACACTAGCACAGGTTTCCTGGAGAGGTGGTGGATGCCCCATTCAAGGCCAGGATGGATGGGGCTCTGAGCAACTTGGTCTAGTGGAAGATGTCCCTGTTCATTGCAGGGGGGTTGTACTAGATGGTCTTTAAAAGGTCCCTTCCAACACAAACTATTCCATGATTCTATTAAGCTATTCATGACTTTGTACAAAGCTACTGAACTTACATGGCCTACAGATACAGATTAGCTGCTCATCCTTTCCCTTCAGTATCAAATGTTTTGTCCATGGAAAATGCATTTTTCCATGATTTTTTTTTTTTAAAGGCTGATAAAAGGTACTAACATATATTAACCTTGAAAGGATACTGAAGACAAGATCTCAGTGTCTCATGCCAAAGAAGGAGGTATTTCTGTCATACACACAGATAATCTAGTATTGCATTTTTTTCCCTCTGTAGCAGTCAAGAATAATGGGTGGGAACAGTAAAAAGGGAAACTTTCTGAACATGACAGACGGGTGGAGAAATTAACTCTGAAAAGCACCCGAAATGATCAGGGAACTACAGTCAAGCAGACAAAATGACGCCAAGCTGAAGACTAGCAGATAGCTGTAGGCAATGAGCATGCAGCCATCAAGTAAATGAGAGAGATATGTTTTTGTATTGATTTTTCTAAGGACAGAGAGTTTAGCCTGATGTTTTGAAATATATGGGTTGAATCAAGGCTGTGGAAAGTCACGCAGGCTTTCCTGGAAATGGCTTATCATAAAACAGATTATTTTTAAACTTCTGCTAGCGCTGCCTACTGTTATCACCCCAAGTACTTCAGCTGCTGTAACATCTGTACAACATCCATTCTGGGGAGAAGAAGGGACCTAACTGATAGAAAGCCACACACAATTGACACTGCATCAGCCAAAGAGCTTTAAATCACAGCTCCTGCACTTCCCATACAGGGAGAACCAGAAAATCTCATCCACACTTAATTTGTCTTCACGAGCCTCTCTCTGTCTCAGCCAGTGCCTATCAGAGATGGCTACAGTTTGCTCACCAGCTTCAGCAGCCTGTGATGACAGACATAACTGGGGAATCTTACCTTGTCTGCCTAGTGCTGCACAGCCACAGGGCTGGGGCACAGACACCATTTTTTGGAAGGTTTGCACGAGTCTCGGTGTGCCCAAGTGACTGGGAATAACAAATGACATCAGCTTCTACAACACCCAAGCGAGGGACATGGCCAGCATCAACCTGGCTGCCTTTATTTTTGTAAACCGTGTGACTGAACTTCTTACTGCTGAGACAGTCAGGTGCAAAGGTACAGAAAAGCATTTAATGCTAATGAGGCACCTGAGCACCTCCATCATCAATCCCTGAAACTTCCAGTAACATACACTGAATTTTAGAGAGTCTCAAATCCAGCACAAGACAGGCTACAAGGAGCAAACCCAGAGTGCTAAATGTGTTCAGCAGAAAATACAAATATGTTTTGAATAGCAATGCTTATATTAGTACAAAATACTTACACAAAAATGATTACATATTTCTACTTGCATATACATACAAAATACTTCTACAGGAGGGCTTAACAGCTGAATTTGTATCATTTGTATACCAGATTGGACATCTTGCCTGTGCCCTACCACAAAAGACAAATTGTGTTTCTACAGGATGTCAGGCCTAGTGCTTGTACTTGATTCAACTTGCAGTGCCTTGATTTTAAATGCACACAAGGCACAAGTTCCACACAACTGCAAGGTGTAGTTAATGAGAATATTTGAAGCTGTCACCTATTTATGAATTTGTCTAAAATATCACATCTGTGATCAGACAGATAACAGCTTGACTAGCCCTAGGGATCTGGATTTCAGTCTTGGAACCCATCTCCCATCATTTATGACCATGAGGTTTTCTGTTAAACATCAGACCATCAGCAGATGCACAAAATGAAATGTCTCTCCAGTCACAACCCTTCCTTTCAGATAAACCCAAAAGCAGTAGCTTGTTTCCAAGGGTTCTGGTGAGAGAACACATGTCACTTAACAGCCTTTTCCCCATCTCTCTGAGGTACAGGCCATGAGCCAGATGTGAACATGTTTTGGATGACATAACTTGCCATCCTGACTATCCTGAATGTAAGAAATGGTTTGTAAAGTGCTGAGTAATATCCCATGGAATATAACAGAGCTACTAGTACAGACACTCACCACACTGCAGAGTTAAATCGTTTACAAACACAACTAAATGCAGTAATAGCAAATACAAAGGCATATACAACATTTTTTTGGCTGCATTCAGGAGACTGCAAAACAGTGACTCTAGTACCTCTACACACGATTTAACTTTAAGCACATGAGAAAGTCCAATGGGCAATAAAATGGGTGTTTAAGGGACTGGCTGAACCAGATCCCAGAGGCACAAAGTTAAACCTAATGAGCAAATCTAGCATGTCATGCAGATTTACCTTCTCCTTTTCTACATTTACAGTTTGCATTGATTTGGGGGAGGAAACAGCTTACTAAGACAATGCCACTTTCAACTGGAAATTTCACACAACATAAAACGTTTTGAAGAATGAAGAAACCCATGAGCCATGTTAAAAAGTACAACTTTCAAGTAACCAGAAAAAAAAGACTATTGTATTAATGTTTTCCAAAGTGAAAATAAACTGCTATTTGACATAAGCTGGAGACAGACAAGACATGAAAGTCATGAGAAAAATCATTAAACAAAACTCTAAAGTGAACAGCTGGGAGAAGATTTATCCTCCCGGCCCTACAACCTAGGAAATAATTTTCCCTCCCCCGAAGTGGTAGAGATAAATGATCTAACTGAAGTTAGAGGAAAAATGTCAGTTTAAATCAACATTTCCTGTTACTCAAAATAAAGAAAAAAGGAAGAACAATAGCAGGCATCTCATGTTCAGTTGAAGGAATACCAGCTGAGCCACACTTTTCATTTGATGATCATTCCCTGCTGTGTTTAGGCTCAACTAAACCAATGTTTATGTGGCTCAACAGAGCTAAAATTACTTGTCTTTTTAGATGCTCACTGATTCCAGACCAATACTTGCCTACTGAATCCTAGGTCTTGACAATGATGGATGGCAAAGATTAAAGAAAAGCTATCATACTTCTATGAGTGTGTATTACAGAAAAGTGGTGCTTTATAGTGTGGGGAGTGAATGAAATGCAGGGTCAGCACCTCAAGTTTGCGAAAAGTCTCTGCTACAGTCTATGTACAGTTTGGGTGTGATTTTCTAGAACTTACATCTTTATTTAACAGGTCAACTTGAGATTTCCATAAACATATAAATAAAAATATTTTTGAAAGGCCTTAGGATACCACAGGCAATCTGTATCAGAGACATAACTGGAGACCAGGAAATAACAACATGGATTTACCCATCTCACAGTGTCCTCCTGTGAGGTCCTAACAAGACAGTGCTTTGGAGCAGACTTTTAAATTTCATGTGGGTTCTCATCAGGGATGTACTTTTCACAATTAAAGTTCAGTGAATTCTGACCAGAAAACCAGCTTCTAAAATAACTCATTTTGTACAAATTCAAGGAATGTGTTAGAGTTTGGCAGCTAAATTATCAAAAGATTTATTCTTCAAGGACCAAGCTTCTTACGTGCTCTCCACAACCAGCATACTTTCAATTAGTCACTTAGGAAAGGGAGCTGGATCTCATTTGAATACACCAGAATATGAGGAATCTGTGAGGGAAAAGGGACTGCATGGAAGGAGGAAGAAAGATGACACTGAAGGAGAAAGTTTATATGGATGAATGAGACTAGACAGTATTAAAAACTAGACTTCCTTTCCCTCTTTAGACGTCAGGACTGGAGCTAAGGCATATTCCTTTCATAATTGATAAGAAGGTGACATATTGCTCTTCTGTAGTCTAGACACTAGCAGAGAATATCTCAGTAACATAATATGGGTTTAGTTCCCTATAACATATTAACATTTTTCTTCTGCCTGTAGAGAGGGGAAAAGAAGAATAACAAAGAGCAGCCCCCATAAGCAAAGAGAATGCACAACTGCCCCCTATAACTGGGTTATCTTAAACAGCTCTAGCCAAGGGCTATTGGCTTGACTGGGTTCTGTTGTCAACACAGGACAAAGAGACTGCAGAATGCCTGTTCTTTAATCAAGAAGGCAACACAGGAATATCTGTAATGGCACCCCAATCCTGATGCAGTGGTCTCATATCAAGGCATTCATCCTATATCTAGCAAACAGTGCCAAACCCTAAGTCTACAAGAATTATCTCTGCATAATTTCCTAGTCACCAGTGACTTCTGTTTACTTTCTGACTAGAAACTTTCTTGTCCATCTCCCTAATCCCAACCCATTATCCCAAACATGCTGATGTCAAATATGGAGCTTGCAGGGAGGGTATCAGGGCTTAGTCAGCTCCAACAATATGTATTAGTAAATTATCTTGCTTTGTCACACCTGAAGAAAGAGAGAAGTTATCATGCTCTGCAACAAGGTGAGTTAGTGCAATAAACAAGCAAGGAAGGTGACTGAAAATTAAGGAACCAAAGGACAGTAGGATTAGAAGCCCTCTCTTGCTTGTATTGAACAAAGCCTTGAAAGGAATTAAAATCAAATTAAGTCACAAAGTTTGTTATTGTTGATTGCTGTGTAATTAGGATATTTTAATCCTAATTATTGCTTAATTGACAAAGTAACATCAGAGGAAATTTAAATATGTTACAGATTTATTTAGCAACCAAACCTGCATTTTATTTAACACTATATAATGGCACTGTTTAACTAGTAAAATCACTGGCTATCATTCAAGTGAAAATTGAAAATCTGTATTAGGGATTAGATGATTCTCCCCTCCCCCCGCCCCCGAATTAATGGAGAACAACATTCTTCTAAACAAAATTACCTTTGAGACTGTTCTGGACTTCTAATGCAATGTCGAGGGCATTAAACGGCAAAACTGGTTCATTGGCAATTTTCAAAGTCACTTGTCCTGTTAGCTGAAAAATACAAAAAAACCAAACAACTGTCAAATTATTTCTACCAGATTTAATAGCCAGCACTTCTTTTGGAATAGCACAGACTTGCATTATATTGGATTTTTAGAGAAAAATTAATAAACCCCCATTAACACATCTTTGTGGAAAGGAACGTGACCAGGACCATTTCCTGTCTAGCACAGCATTACAAAATGTTCAGAGATTACAATTTGTGACCACGCACAAGAATTCTGTGCAATATGCCTTCTGTGGACCCAGGATGTGGCAGAAGTCTCCGAAGGGCCTTAGTTTTCCTTAGTTTTCAAATAAAATGTCTCAATACTCTAAACATAGGAATGGGGTTTATTGTTTTACTTAGTCCTCTGGTTTTAGCTATTGGATTCTGAGAGTTTACACAACTAAAATAAAATAAATGATCACAGGCATTAAGGATCTAGAGATCAAGCCCAGGGTTAAATGCAAGCTGACCTGAAAACCCACTGCCTTTTGAAGTGTTATGTGACAACTCAATGCACACAGATGTACAGCTTCCAAACTAAATGGAACACTACATTGTGTAGTGAGTTACAGTAAGTTACAGAAAGGCATTCCCAAATGAATGAGAGAGAACTCTCAGTCCACTCCAGACTAGATGTCAGCACCTGTCACAAAACTCAATGGCATAAATGCTTCTTTTTCAACAGTTCCACAGATGAGGCCAGGGACTGACTGGCCTGAGAGCTTTTTTCCACTTACAGAAGGTTGGCTCTCCAGCTTGAGGCTTAGACATGCTACAGGGGCTGTGTATAGAAATACATCTTTCTGCTGAACTTTACCTAGCCTGTGATTAAACAGAGGATTTCAGTCTCTAGGCTGCCAAGTCCATCACTGTTCAGGGGAGCTGTAAAAACACACTGACAAGAAGATGCAAGAAACTTTCATTCATCTTCTTCATATCTTGATATTGCAAAAAGGGAAAAAATACCTGTAAGGCTGTGCTCTAAATGGAATGATGGCTGCAGGTGATGGTGAAGGTGTTGATAAAAATGTGGACTGAACAGAATCCTATTGTACAATACTTCCCAAGGTGTTGGGGGAGCAAGAATAATATCTACCCTTCAAAAGCAATATGATAGTTTCTGTGCCAAAAGTAGCATTTTAATTCTACAAAAGAAAGCAGCAGGAAAAGCAACAAGCCTTAGTAATATTAAAAACAATAGTAGAGCAATTGAAAAGGAAAACCATCTCCCAGGAAAGAGGATGAAAGCAGGGCAATATCAGAAATACAAGATTCCTGGAGAAAGATTAATAGAACCCCACAACATTTCTCAGAGAGCATTAAAGAAATGACCTGGCCACAGAGCAGTTTAGGTATGGAGACTGAAGGAACATGCTGTATATCAGACTGCAGCTTCCATGTGAGCAAAGACATCCTGTGAAGCTATTGAGATTTACCTCCAATACAATACTGAAAAAGGCATGAAGTTAAAAAAAAAAAAGCCCTAACATATATACAGAGAGAAAAAACCAGGGAGGAATAATGCTGTGCCAAGCCATTATCAGGAAAAATAAAGAACTAAGAGTGAACTTAAAGATGAAAAATACTGTGTTTGGAGATCTGTGTTAAAATATTACACATTAACCTCTCATGAAAACTTTCTCCAGACTTCCCAACTGCACAGGCCATCAGTGCTTGAAGGCCATTACATTTTCTAACAGTAATTATACATGAAAGTGTCTGGGTTGGAAAGCATTAGAAAACATTGCTCTTCCAGATATCAAGGAGGTATTATGGAAAAGTAAAAGATAAAACTGTGAGGGCAAAGAGAAACCTGTACCAAACTGTATCCAAACCAGGTTCATACAATCCAGCCATGAGAAACTGTAAAAAAAAAATATCTGTTTTAAATGTCCAAATGCCAAACAAAATCCTTCCTTATCCCACACGGAACTCTTCCAAGATGTTGCTGCCCAGAACATTCACACTCAGTCAGTTGCTATGGATAAGCAACTGTGGCTTATGAAATAACATCCTAATAAATGGAAGGTATTCTACATGGAGCCCAAACCCACTGAACCCTAAATAGCACTGTATCACACAAACCACTCAAATTCTTCCTTGGCACCCCATTTCTGCAAAAACTGTCACTAAATGGCAATGCAAATACATATTCACAGGCATATTTTAGGGAGGGACATCAACAGTCATACATTTCTACTGATACTTTACAATCTATTACAGCAGTGTTTAAAAACATAGAAGTATGGAAAAAATGCTTCTTCTCTAAAGCAGTAAAGTGGCACTAGAGAGGACAATACTCTAAGTATCTTCCCTTTCATCATTATCTCCTACAGAGTCTGGCTTCATTTTCATAAGTTCTTGTCTTATTTCTATTTCTTCCAAGCGATTTTAGTTTGCTTTTAACCATATAAGACCAAAGCTGTTCTCTCTTTCCTATTCAAATAATGTTATACCATCAAAATCTTACTACTGACTGAAGTCCTTCTGGAGATGTTACAGTATCTGTCTGCAACACTGCAGACATCTGTGAGTTGGCAAACAGGTAACAGTGGTGTTTATTAAATCACGAACTTTGTAGGCTAATCTGGAGGAAATCAATCACCTCAAGGAAAGCTCAGGGCATTGATTTGAACAGAGTAAGTAATAATGCTGCAGAAGCATATATCAAACCCACATAAAGCAGCAAGACAGAAAAGGCTACTGATTTCTTATTTATAGTCTTATTTTTGGATATACAATTCCCATGAGTGCAACACTGAATATACATGGAAAATAAAGACAAGCTTCTGTTCCCTTTTCCCAGGTGAAAAATGGATCAGACTGACTATTGAATTATTAAATGCAAGAATAACTTAGCCAAGAGTAAAGACGACAATTTTCTCCTAAAGTGAAATGCTAAAGCAGCACAATTGATTCTATTCCCATACTGAAGTGGTTAAAACACTAATGACAACTTCTCAAATAGCATTTATACATAATAATACACATACAACACACACGATAATTGATGTAACATTTGCACAGTTATAAAGTCTAAGGAAAGATTTTAGAGTTTAAATGCTAATTCACTCCATAATGATTTCCTTACACATTTTTAACACTTCCACTATACTTGGCTGGGGAAAAGGTGTTCTTCAGTAAACAAAAATGTATTTGGTGAACTTCCAATTACTAAAAAGATAAATATTCAAATAATACATAACAATAACTGTAGAGTTATACAGTATTCCTTCCTTGTGAGGGTGGTGAGGCACTGGCACAGGTTGCCCAGGGAAGCTGTGGCTGTCCCATCCCTGGAAGTGTCCAAGGCCAGGTTGGATGGGGCTTGGAGCAGCCTGGTCCAGTGGAAGGTGTCCCTGTTCCAGCCCATGGCAGGGGAGTTGGAACAAGGTGATCTTTAAGGTCCCTTCCAATCTTTCTCGGATTCTGTGCATACTGCAAAATAAATCTGAATATTTTGAATAGGTTTATACTAAAGTAACATTTTTTTAAGGTCTTTTACCTTATAGCATAAACATCTTTGCAGGAAGGAAATAACTACCCTCCCTGCCTTTATCTCTCTGGCACCATGCAGATCCAAAGAGATAAAAAACCTCAAGAACTTCAAAAAATGCTAAAGATGATTCAGTATCACATGACACCTCATAAATGAAGTTGTAGGTTCTTCTCTCTTCCAAAGTTTTACACCTACTCATTTAGTAGCTATGGATTCTTGCAATTCTACCCAACTTATGAACATGATTTCACTATAAAAGCCATCTCTCAGGACATCAGGTGGATCTGCACCACTCTCTAAAGGACTGTGGCAAAAAAATAATACCTGTTTTAAACACACACAATATTTTCCTCTATGTAAATTATATATATATATATATATATATATGTCCTTTATTTTTTTAGTTGCATTGCAATGAAAATAAGGAAACTAAATAAAGTGGAGTGGGGGGGGGGGGAGGGTTCATCACAGATTTTAATTTTTTTTATATTTTCACACCTGTTTTTTCTGTGAGTTAAGCTCAGTTTTCAAGGCAACTTGCTTACTCAAATATCCAAGCTGGATATTAACAACGTAAAGCACATCTACTCACATAATTTTTTTTTTTTTTTTTTTAACATGAACAGCATAAATCCAGGATAGAAAAAATGTGAAAAGCTGCACACAGTCTCCTTTACACAGATTCAGTTTGGCTTTTGGGGCATGCTTTTATGGAAACTGCCTTGCAGGGACATGTCTTAAATGTTATCTGGTTTTACTGAAAAGGCAGGCATGGCAGCCCATCCTCCATTCTGTCATAGGAAGAGAAACGTGTAAGATGAATAAAATGAAAAACATATTTAGTGGATATGAAGATATGAAAATATTATGAGTGAGTGAGATCAATCTGCTAGAATAAACATCAGCATTCAGTGTGCAGGCAGTTTCTTTAACACAGAAGTTCACATGCTAGTCTTGGGTTTTCTGGGTGTTTTTTGTCTAGTGAAATTTGAAACTGTTCCGTATCGCGCCTGCACTGTGCAAACCTCAGTGGGTGTAAGTGCTGAGCCTTTAGGACATTTTTAGTTACATTAAGAGCGTTAAAATCTAAACAGACATCTCAGATCTCTTCTTATGCCAAGTTACAAACAACATAACTTTAAAAAAATCAGGTAAACTGCCATGTTTATCCCTCTGTGAACACAGCACTTTGGTAGTGTCATACTTCAATTTTACCTGTTGGAAGGAATTAGACACAGCTACTTGAAACCTGAGTTGTGCAGCGACAACTCCTTTATATTTCAAGCCCCAAACCTCTGCAACATACTTTTTCTTCCCTCTTTCTTCTTTATTCCTTCTTTATAATTTTCAGGGGGTTATGTAAATTTATTCCACACATATCAGAAACACTTCTGAGATCTGTGCACTTTTACAGAAAACCAGCACACACATGGCAGCTAATCTACCAAACCCATGACAAACCATGTTAGAAAGCAGATAATGCAACAAAGTAGTGCAGCAGGC